CCTGGGTTCTCTCCCCAGCTCTGGGAAGGGTGTTATTTTGTGACCACAGCAGAGATGGTGGAGTCAGGCAGGACTCCTGGGTTCCCTGCTTGGCTCTGAGACTGACGAGCTGAACAGTCCCACAGCAAACCCCCTGTGCCTCGGTTTCCCCCGTCTGACCTGGAGCCTTGGGAAAGCAGCCTAAGTGGTTAATCTGCAAAGTGCTCTGATAGTGGGTGGACGGGAGGGGCTGGCGAAGGAGGCAGGCTCACTCCCCAAACTGCTCCATCCCATCCCCCCATCTACCCCGGGGGGCGGGGCAGAGATTTGCCACAGCACAGTGTGTGGAGGAGGACGCTGGGGAGCCATTTCCCACCCTAGGGAGCGCTGAGACAAAATAGCCCCATGGGTAGAGTGCTGGACTCAGAACCAGGACTCCTGGGTTCTGTTTTCAGCTCCGGGAAGAGAGTGGGGTCTAGTGGTTAGAGCAAGGAAGGCTGGGAGTCAGGAGTCCTGGGCTCTCTTCCCAGCTCCGGCGGAGACTGGGGTCTAGTGGTCAGAGCAAAGGGGAAGGTGGGAGTCAGGACTCCTGAGTTCTCTTCCCAGCTCTGCCACTGATTGGCTGTGTGTGGCCTTGGGTGAATCACTTCCCTGTATCATGCCTCAGTTTCCCCATCTGTAAAATGATACCGACCTTCCTTTGTAAAACACTTTGAGGTCTCCAGACGAAAAACCCTGGGAAAGAACCAATCCCCCTGCCCTATATATATAGATATACAGGGGGTGGGGCTTTTAATGTGACCCCCACTCCAACAACCCCATAATGCTGCAATCCCTGGGCGGCCCAGGCCCCTGGCGTGAAATTAAATCTTCTCATTAAATGTTAATCAGATGAGGGGAGGGAGGGGAACAGATTTAATGGCCAATATCCTAAAGCTTCCGTCACGGGGTCGTTAAACCCTCCCCTGCCTCGGCCCTGCAAGAAGGGAGAATCTTTGCTAACGGCTAAAGCTGTCTCGCTCTCTCGTGTCCAGTTTCGCAGGCCAGCGTTGTGCGCCTCTATGACCGATTTCAGGCCCTGGACAAGCAGCAGAAGGGCTACCTGAGGTAGGGGAAAGCCGGCGTCTGTCCCTGGGCCTTTCTGGCTGCTTGATTATTGGCTCATTACGGTAGCACTTACAGTCTCCGGTGCATTACGGTGGTTTAACGCTTGGGTGCAAAGTGCTCGGCTACGCCGGTGATGGGCGTGGTAAAGGAACCCGTAGCGCGGGGGGGGGGGGGGGGGGGGGGCTTTTTTTTTTTGGGGGGGGGGGGTGGGGGGGGGGGGGGGGAGGCCAGGGGGGGGGGGGGGGGGGGGGGCGGGGGGAGACACTCAGGGGTGCAGGCTCTGGGCAGCGCTTACCTCAAACAGCTCCCCGAAGCAGCAGCATGTCCCCTCTCCGGCTCCTACGCGGCGACATGGCCAGGCGGCTCTGTGCGCTGCCCCATCCGCAGGCACCGCCCCTGCAGCTCACATTGGCTGCGGTTCCCGGCCAATGGGAGCTTCGGGGCAGCGCTTGGGGCGGGGGCAGCGTGCGGAGCCCCCTGGCTGCCCCCATGTGTAGGAGCCGGAGGGCAGACATGCCGCTGCAAAACCCCGCTCCCCGGCTGGAGCACTGGAGCGGGGCAAACCCCGGACCCCACTCCCCAGCGGGAGCTCAGGGGCCGGATTAAAACGTCTGGAGAGCCGGACGCAGCCCCTGAGGCCGTAGTTTGCCCATCCCTGCCATATAGGGTGCCCAGACACAGGGTCCGGTCCGGGGTTCCAGGTGGAGCGATTATCATGGGTATTACGGTAGCACCTAGCCGGGCAAAGGAGAGTGCCGCTGAGATCCGTGCCCTGTTGCTCTGCAGAAACCGGGTGGAGAGAAGCCCCTGTCCCAAGGAGACAGACGAAAGGGTGGGAGGGGAAACTGAGGCACGGGGTGGGGCCCAAGGTCAGAGCCCAGAATAGAACCCAAGTGTCCTGAATGCTGTCCACACCCTTCCCCCTTCCCCCTGCTTCAGCCCTGGGCGAGGGGGATTGGGCCCAACTCTACTAACAGAGACCCGCAGCAGCGATGCGCTGGACAGCTAATGGGAGCTGCCGGTGGCGGGCCAGGTTCTGGCATCAATCTGGAGTATCACCAGGGGAGTGAGCCACGGGGAACCAAGATCCCGCCTCTGGAACGGCTGCCGTACCCCACCCCAGAGACAGCTGCATCTCGGCGCTGAGAGAGGGATCTCTGTATAAACAGCTGCCGATGCCCCACCCCAGAGGCGACAGCCACCAGTCTTGGGACCGGCCTGGGGCCTAGAACACAGGGGTGAGGGCCCCTAGGGTTCAGAGCTAAACCAGCCGGGCCATGCCATGACCTCTGCCCTGTCTCACTCCCTAAAGCAAATACGACCTGCAGGGGATCGGGGAGCTGGCGGTGAACCCCCTGGGGGACCGGATCATCAACGCCTTCTTCAAGGAGGGGTGAGTACCCCCGGCCCCAATCGATGGTGGGGGCAGGGAGCTTCCAGCGGCCTGGCTCTGCAGCGTGGAGGGTGCAGGCTGCAGGGTATGTCACTCGCCGCTGGGGGGCGCCAGAGCTCACAGGCCGCAGAGTATCACAGGGGACCCCGCGGAGCCCGACGGGGACTGGGTGCTGCAGGGTGCAGAGCAGTGTGGCCTCTGTGGCAAAGGCATGCGTGGTCCTCCTTTGCTCCCTGCTGTATGGATCCCCATGTACACAGCCCTCGCGCCCCGCCCCAGAGGCAGCTGCATCTCAGCACTAATTGAGGGCTCCCTGTATAAACAACCCTGGTGCCCCACCCTAGAAGTGGCTGCACCTTAGTGCTGGGCGGCGAGGGGTCCCTGTATAAACAGCCCCCATGTCCCGCCCGAGAGATGGCTGCATCTCTCTGTATAAACAGCCCTGTGCCCCGCCCCAGAGATGGCTGCATCGCAGTGCTGGGCAAGGGCTCCCTGTATAAACAGCACCCATGCCCCACCCCAGAGGTGGCCGCATCTCAGCACCGGGCGAGAGCTCCCTGTATAAACAGCTGTGGTGCGCCTGGCAGCTTGCGCTGCTGCCCTGGTTATTAGTCAAATCTCCCGTCCCCCGCCGCAGGGAAGAGCTCACCGATTTCCGATCCTTCATCCGGGTCCTGGCCCATTTCCGGCCTGTGGAGGAAGAAAAGTCCAAGGAGACTGGTCGCCCGGAGCCCATGAACAGCCGACTCCGAAAGCTGCAGTGTGAGTAGTGGGGCTGGTGCGGGGAAGGAAGCCTAGGGGGCTGCCCCCCACACCCCACTGCTGAGACAAGTCACTGGGGCCCCTTGGTGACAAGGGGAGGAGGAGCCAGATGAGGGGTTATGGCATTATGGGGCCTGCATGGGAGGAGAAGGTACCACTGACTTCTGGCCAGAGGGCATTTGGAGTGGGGGGTGAGGAAGGCATGTGGGAGGGGTGCTAGGTGTGGAGAACTGGGAGGGGCAGTGGGGTGGGGGCACCCAGGGGGATGGGGGGGGGGGGGGGGGGGGGGGGGGACGGGAAGGAGGGGGGGGGGGGGCCAGGCAGAGATATGTGGAGGGGTGCTGGGGTGGAAGCATGCATGGGGAGGAGGCAGAGGGTACCCAGGCAGGGCCGGGCCACAGGCATATGTAGGGGTGTTGGGCTAGGGGGGACATGGGAGCATGTAGGGCTCTAAGGGGGGCAGGGGGAGGTTGGGGCTGATGGGGGGGATCATTTCCCTGCTCCGATCCCAGCGCTGACACCAATCTGGGCTGCGAAGTTGCTTTTCAGCTCTATGACCAGGACAGTGACGGGAAGATCTCCCGGGATGAGATGCTGCAGGTAATGAGCGTGCATGAGCGTGCGAGGGGCTGGGGAGTGTGCAAAGAGAGAGGGGGAGGAACTTGGGGTGAGCATGCGCACGAGGCTGGAGAGCGAGTGTGCAAGGTGACTGTGCGAGGCCGGCACTGCCCCACTCTCCACCTGAGGGCCCCCAGAGATGGAATCCATCCTCCCCTCCCTCAGTGGCAGCCCCAGGGGTGGGCGGGGCAAGGGGCGGGGCCATCACTGTCTCCTCCCCTCCAGGTGCTGCGGCTGATGGTTGGCATCCAGGTGACGGAGGAGCAGCTGGCGTGCATCGCCGAGCGCACCATCCAGGAGGCCGATCAGGACGGTGACGGCGCCATCTCCTTCGAGGAGTTTGCCACGGTGGGGCAGGGTGTAGAGCCGGGGGGCAAGGGGTGGGGTTGATTGTCTAGAGGGGAGCGGTGAGGCCTGGTGGAGGATGGAATATTAGGTGTATTACTGTAGCGCCTGGGGCCACAACTGAGTGAGAGACCATCTAGCGAGACCAAGGAGGGACCATTATCCCCATTGAACAGGAAGGGAAACTGAGGCACGGGGAGGCTAACAGCATTGGGAATTGAGTACGAGCCCAGGGCTTTAGCTGCGTGGCCGGGCCCCCCGCCCCCAAGGACCCTTGGCGGTTGTCTGGGTGGGAGGTGGTTACAGCCCGGGACTGGCCGTGTTTCCGATGTCCTTGCTTCCCCGCAGTCAGTGGAGAAGCTGAACATCGAGCAGAGAATGAGCCTCCGGCTGCTGAAGTGACCCGTCAGGATCGGAGAGAGCCCCCCCCCACCGGCCCCCCAGCACTGGGAAGATCCACTCTCAGAGGGGCTGCGGCCAATCAGCTTTCAGCTCCGCCCTCTCATCATCCAATGGATCCCACCAGGGAGGGGCTGCATCCAATCACACTTCAGCTCCACCTTCCTGCCTCCGCATAGTTCCAGACAGAGAAGAGCTGCTTCCAATCAGATTTCATCTCTGCCCCCTCACCTCAG